TCCATCCGGCACTTATAGTAGGTCCTACCTACGAAGCGACCTTAGCCTTGGCGAGCTTCGCGCGGCGGGCCGCGCGAGGGAGGTCGGGGGGCGGCATCACGGGGGCCCAAAACTCAGCGACTGTTTTCGTGGGGGAGTAGAGGACATCCACAGAAGATGGCTTCGCCTTCTTTGGCTGGTGTTTGTTCCCCGAGGGTGAGGCCGGAGGCGTACGTCTAGAACCAACAGCAGAAGATTTCACAAGCGACTGCAGTTGTTCAAATGGCAAATCAACCCAATGCGTAGCTAGTGATAGAATCCGCGCATCAGCATCGTATTTCAGACACAAAGACGGAAGCTTCGGACGTCTACAAGACTTCGCTTTAACAGGTTCAAGACCCAACTCCAGTGCAAGAGCCTGGAGATGTTCTTCATCTGCATCGCCAACAGCTGACACCATCTCCACAATAGCTCTCACGCATTCGAGCGGAGCATACGGATGGCTCTGTTCGGACATTGATGCAGCTTGTCTCTGCAAGGTCTGAGAGCAAAACACATTCCAGTAGTTGCCCAGGAATAGACTCACATGCTTAAACCCAGGAGCCCGGTCCACCTTGATAGCTGAAAAAGTCGATTTGCTTGTTACCCGATGCAATGCTGGCCTGTAAGTGTCACTCAAGTAACCGTTTACGCTCCTGGGTGCGCTGAAATGTCGGATTCCACCGCCACTGAAACCAGTCTCGATCATGGCCCATGTCTGCTGATCAACACCTGGGATGATCTCGCTGTTGCAGCACCCCGGTTTTGTTTTTCCAAGCAATCCGGTGATCCTCGTTCGAAGCATGGTCCGCAGTAGCCACTGCTTTGAAGTGAAGCTCTCATACAGCAAGTCTTCCCCATTCTTGTCCTTGCCCAGCTGCGGATCAGTCTCAGGGAACGTAGAAAAGTTATGGCTTTGCCCTTCCATCGAAGATAATGAGCCATCGGGCATCTGCTGATGACTCATGACGTAGACGTGCTCCATGCCATGCAGCAGCACCAACTTGTCACAAGCATCATCTATCGGCCACACAACTGCCACACCTAGCACGCAGTCGACAGGATACCAAGACGCGTCTGAGCAAAGCACGACTTCTTTTAAGCCAGCGGTTAAAGCCCGCTGCCTGACATTCATGGAGCTCGTCGGGAATTTCTTGTCATCATCTCCCACAACAGAACACCACTGGGCTAGAAAAAACTCACCGGTGTGACCATCCTGAGCAAACTTCTCGCGTTCGTCTTGAGGCAGCTGAGCGTGCTGCCGAACGTCGACAATGCGGGAGAGGAAAGACTTACCCTTCGCCTTGCCCGTGTAGACGAACTCGCCTGTGAGCAACAAACACTTGAGCTCTGCACTGCGAACTACCTTGCCATACGGGCTCGTGCCCGGCACTGGGTTCATGCGCAGCGATGACAAACGTGATTCCCGGTACAATTTCAGGGCTGCGCTCGGCCAAGATATGCCAGGGCCGCTCGGATACCTAGCCAAGTTTTGTAAGGATTAGTTCGAAAAGCTCGGAGAGAGCAATGGATGAAAGTCCATAGTTGTAAAAATCCTCTATTAAAGTTCAGAATATAAACTTATCAATTCATCCAATTTTTAGAGGAACTGGACTTATCGAAACCTCCTGGAGACTATTAAGAAAAATGGACACATAGGAGGAATCCCGGTCCCCGCCTCATTTGTTCTCCTCATTCCGGAAGCGACCCGACTCGAGACGGAGCAACTGGTTGTGAAAGAACTGCCTGCTACCCACGATCCTCCAGGGCTGGACGGCCTACAAACGATGCACAATGCGACGAAGAAGACTGAAGGATCGTTCTTCAAACCAGTGAACATCTCTCTGCATCCCTCGTCGAGAGTTTTCATCGTCGGCAGCGATGGCGTCGCTGCAATGGCAGCTTATTTGGCCTCCGTCCTCATGGCGTAGATACTGGTCGGAGATTTACCCGAGTGCAGAAGCCCGAGTGCTATTAGCGACGAGCTCAGCTCTTTCACAGATAGCACGAATATCCTGGTCGGTCTCCGTGAGCCAGGCGCCCGCTTGTTGACTCATATACTGTCAACGCAGCTAATATCGAGCTTGGCCTTTTATGCGTGTGTTTGCGAAAGTTTTCACGTCGTGAGAGGGCTCCCAGCCTACAGTACAGTCGAGCAGCTGTGCGACGCGATTCGGATTTTTTTTCGAACATCTTTTCGAAGCAGAAATCTCGAGGAGCTCCCGTCAAAATCTGCGTTTGCGATCGTGGGGAGCGGTATTACGGGGCTCATTGTGGCGCGCAGGATAGTCTCCGAAGGGCACCAGTGCGTCCTCCTTGAAAAGGCGAACGCATGTGGGGGTGTCTGGCACTCGCAAGCCAACATATCATCGAGAGTGAACACCTCGGAAGCGGCTTATCGCGCAGTTGATCGCGGAGGTGTCGTCAATTTCGATCACAGCCCAACTTTCTAAATTTTGAATGATCTCTCACTTCTGACCTCAGCATATCTTGCATGGCGGATCAAATTTAAGACAACCGCGATTGGGATTCGTTCGTGCCGGAAGATCTGACATGCAATATTCTACTCCACTCCTGACAAACATGCCACCATCGAAGCAACAAGAGTACTGGCCGGTGTGAATCGTCGCTTGGGAGCTACGCGCAAACTCTCATTTCCAGACGAAGACGACTATCATGGAAAAACATATTACGGAGTTTGCGGCGATTCTTCGCGTGTTCATTTCCCTCAGCTGGTGATCCTCATCGTCGGTGCGGGCGCATTTGCCACGGAAAATGCGCGAACGGCTGTCGAGTGCGGTGCGGAAAGAATTTCGGTCCTTTAGCGACGGCGTGGTGCTGTGAGCCCTTTGATCGTGGACTATCTCAACTTTGTGCGTCCATACGACGAAGGATACAGCCACGCAAAGTTCGGTTCTCAAGTGATTTTCTCAGCCTGGGACGCTGTCTTCGACCTTTCTGGGGCAAAGAAGCCGGAGTGCTGGCGATAGGGGTGAATTTCGCCGATCGGGCACACGCTATCAGTTTCGGATATCTGGTTCGTCGCACATTATTACGGCCTCCTCACGACAGTTCTGGGCGAGATTTCTAATGTGGGCAAAAGCCACGTCGCTACGGCGGACGACGGAGTTGTGATTTGATGTGACGTAATAGTCAAGTGCGCCGGGTACTGGAAAAACGAATTCGTGAGGCGACTGCTTGGAAGTAACTCGATCTACTCCAACAATTTTGTGCGAAGTAACTTGATTTATCAAGCCGAACAAATCTTGGACGATGCTGGTGGCTTTCAAACGCCGTTTGGTTCGAGTTACTTGGAGGCTGTCGCTTTTCAAGTGCTCATGTTCGCGCACTGTGGGTGGATGGGTTAGGGACTGCGTCACGACCTTATCGATGCGCCCATTTCTCGCATGTCCGTCGAATTGGTGCGCACGCTCAGAGCAACCGTCACTTGCCAGTGCGGCGAAAAAACGTATGATTCATCGCAGTTTGAACTATCATCGTCGATTCCTGCCAGATCAATTCGTATTCGAGAATGCGCACAAGTGGTACGACCTGGTGGCGCTTTGCGAATCGCGAGCGAATCGGGTTGGTCACGTGCAGCCTGCCTACCCGTTTATGACGCTGTGCGAGAAAGTGGCCAGCGAGTGGCTCGATGAAGATCTAGCAATCGGGAGCATCGCGAGCCTTGGCGAAGATTTGATAGTGACGAGACTGAGCCAGTGGGTGGTACGGGCATCGCAGTCGGGGAGCTCCATCTAGAGCGTCGCAGGCGCAGAAGGAGGCGTGGATGACGTCCTCGAACATCTCACAATACTTGCGTTTCAGCTTCTCGGCACCGCAATCTCGACGAAAGAACCCCTCATGAACGCTGGGCTGGACTCTTTGGCGGGCATTCAATTTGTACAAGCCGCCACTGAACATTTCTGCTGAGAGTTTCCGTCTACGTTGATCTTCGACCACCCGACGCTTTGGGCTGTGGCCGATTTCTTTCATTCGTAGACCCAGTCTCGATCACAGTATGCTTGTCAAGACACGATGGATTTTCTTGTACGGCTCAGCTTCACGCTTCTGGGCACTACACTCTCAGCGTACGATCCACTTTATGACTCGGGGTTGGATTCCCTGCTTGCGCTGTAGTTTTCTGCGTCGGTGTCAGAAGAATTCGCGGTCGATATACCTACTACTCTTATCTTTGACCACCCGACCCTTAGTTCTGTTTCTCACCACTTGGTTTCGGCGATGAGCGGGTGCGACGATCATGGCGTCGCATCGCTTCTTTGAAACGCGGTCCTGGAATTTGTTGGAACTCTCGTTTGCAGGGACTCTCCTCTGGTGGAAGCAGGGCTAGATTCACTAGCCATCAGTTTGGTCGCCCGGTGACTTTCAGCAGCTTTCAGCACGGAGTTTCATTCTACTCTTATAGTCGACTATCCAACTCTAGACGCCATTTCAAATTATTTGCGCAGCGCGTCCGTCTCTAGAGCCACCCTCTTTGCATGTGGATCGCGAGCATTCGAAGCAATAGTAGTGACACAGGTCGCCTTTCAAGTACCAAAGCTTCGCGCGTTCAGTGGACTGCGGGAGTTTTTACATAATCGACTCAGTACTCCATCTTGGGTGCCCATCTTGCGGTGGGAGGCGTGCCAGTCTCAACATCCACCTGGAGCAACATACGGTGCATTCTTGCTACAGGTGCTAGCCGACGGCGGCGGGGCATTTTAAATGCCGCGGAGCTTTGCTTCAACGCAAGATCCGCAGAATATACTATTGCTCGAAGGCGCAGCGCAGTGTCTCGCGGGCTCTACAAATACCGCCGTCTACGTCGCCATGTTGACGCAGCCAGTCGAAGGGGTCGTTACCTCAAATAGCTGATACTCGCCCACTCATGCAAATATTTCTTCTGGAATAGTCTCCTACACACTCGGCCTGATCGGAGCCTGCGCAACGGTGGATACGGCCTGCTCGACGCAGCTTGTAGCCATTCACCTGGCTCGGGCGGAGATTGTGCTGAGCACATCCCCGCAGGCCCTTGCGCAAGGGGTCGGACTTCTAGGGCCCGCATGGAGTTCTAGATTTGCCAGCCTTGGGATGCTTTCAGCACTGGGGCGCTGCCATAGTTTCGATCGCCAAGGGGACGGTTACGCCCGAGCTGACGGCGCTGCTTGCTTTTTGCTTGCTGAATCACAACCGACGTGCGATTCTCCAGAGTTTTCGGTGACCGCTACCGCGGTGCAAAGTGATGGTCCGAGTGCTAGCCTCTCTGCTCCTAACGGCTCTGCTCAACGGAGATTGATTATGCTCGTCCAACCGCGTCAGACTTTTCTTACACCAACAGTGCCCGTAGAGTGTCATGGAACTGGCACCCTGCTTGGCGATCCAATTGAGATCGGAGCAGTGGCTTCGGCATTGTGCTCTTCCTCTCTAGTAATTCAGGTCTGTTGTTCGTCATTCAAGTCTCAAATGGGGCATTTGGAAGCGACCGCCTCCGGAGGGGGGCTATTGTGCGCATTTATGTCGGCCTTAGAGTCCAATAACACGCCATCAAATGCCTAACTACACATTCTGAACCCGCATCTTGCCTCCCTGCTCGGAGCTAATGCGTTACATATTCCAGCGCAGGACGTTCTCGTGATCAAGGGTGCTGCGCCAGCCCCAGTGCAGTGTCGTTTAAGCTCGTTTGGCGCAAGTGGCACGATAGCTCACGCATTGCTCGGCTATGGTGATTACCTTTTCATGACAGAGCCCGCCTCTGCCGCGGAGCTGGAGTTATTTTTCCCAGATGCCGGGCCTTCTTCACACTTTCGTCTTCAAGAGGCCCCCAGTTGCATCCAGGAGACGTTTCACTTGTATCTAATAGACGTGTTGTGACCAGCCTCTCGTGAGCAAATGTGTGTTGTGCAGAGCGCCCCGCTGGTTGCATATTAGGCGTTGGCTGATCACATCATCAGCCAAAAGTTTTTGTTTCCTGGTGTGGGCTACTAGGAGATGGCTCTCGCATGCACATTTGGAGGTCAAGCAATTAGATGACTGCATCTGTTGAGTGTCACGATCGCACGTCCTTGCATAGTCTCTCGGTGATAGAAGGACCACGCCGATCATGTCATGCAGTATGCACTTGCTACTACGTCGGGTTCGTATCACGTAGCCAGTCGATCCTGCTCACGTCAAGATTTCGTGACTCACGTCAGTGGCATCAACGTGACCAGCGAAGCAACGTCACAGATCGTAGCAGCAAGTCAGCCAGACTCGCGGATGACACGGGTTGTCAAAGCGTACCTATCCGCGCCAATTGGAGATGGATACTCCACGCAACGACAACCAAGCTTGGCGTAGTCGCGCATTGCCATTGATCCATCTTTCGGACATGTCTTCAGCTTTGCCAACCTAAATCACAGTCATGGAAATGGGAAAGTAAGATGGCGTCTTCTCCAGTGAGAGGTCAAGGTCGAGTACGGTTGAACCGTGCCATCGGGGATTTATAGTGGTGACTGCTCTGCCTGAACTGCGCATGCAATCAAGCACAGACGCGCAAAGAGGGAATGATAGTTGAGATTTTAGGATGCTCCTGGAGCTCAGATATTTCTCGCATGATTTGTCTTCACAGACCCGCACTGCTTCTCTCGCGCTCCTCGCCCAGCCAAAAGGAGCATCCTGGGTTTGCTCGGCGCTCATTTGTGCTTTAGCCAATTTTACACGTCGCCAGTATGTGCCTTATTTCGTGATAGTGATCGAGTGCACGCGCACGTGGTGGAATGATATGCCGCGAAAACACCTTGGCATGTGACAGCGCGAACGCGCCATCGTGACTAAAACTCGAGACTCTGCAAAGGTCACTCTTCATCGGCAAAGTAGTCCTGAACCCCGTGTGAGCACAGGAAAAATACTCAGAGTTTTCTCATGATAGTAGAACCGCAAATTGTTCCAGTCAAGAGGATTTTCCCGCTATCGACTCGAGTACTCGAGTGAAATGTGTGTGATCTCACCGTGCGACCAGCACAGTGACCCCTATGCGCGGGTGGTGGTGAAGTAGACACACTGATCGCCATGGTCTCTGAAGCGGTCGGAACGATAGTCGACACGAACGCTCCTCTGATGGCTGCTGGCTTCGATTCACTCTCTGCGAGTGAATTTGGTGGCAACCTGGGCATTCAATTTAGTTCCGAGCTGCCTTCAACCCTTTTGTTCGACCACCCGACTATAAATGCGCTCTCTGGTTTCCTTTCGCCTGTTTCTCCTATAAGGGAATTAAGCCTGGGGCTTTGAACACCAGTCTAGTCCAAGCCAGCTATGCCAATGCCAAGGGGGCAGCCCCCCCTATCAAACTAGACAAGCATTCCGCTGGTGGTCTAATGACTAGTTTGTCAGCTCAACGGAACCGCCGCAACGCTAAGCGCCCCGCTGATGTCCGTTGGGCTCGATTCCTTGAATGCGACCGAATTGGCACGCTAAATTGGCGAGCACTTCTGCGTGCCTGTCCCGTCGACCCTCCTCTTTGATCATCCCAACATCGAAACTCTAGCGTCCTACGTAGCTGAGTCAGGCACTTTCATTGAGGTGATGCCTGAAAGCTGCGACGTTGATGACTCTAGCGTCCGCCGTCAAGTTCACTGGTAAAAATGTGACGAAAATTTGACGTTGTACATATCAGGTGGATTCTCAATGCAGTTACCTTGCCGTTCTCGCACCCGCTGCTTGGGAACAATTCTTGCGGGGGGTTTGAACGCCAAATTGATCTTACCTATCATTCGCTGTTTTTTTTTCGCAATCGACCATGGCTCTGAAAAATACGGCGCTTATACTGACTCTGAATTGGCTATGGATGCGAGCTCGTTTGCCATTTCCAAAACTGAGTCAATTCAGATGGATCCTTAAATGATACTAATTCTTGAGGTAAGCTCCGCAGCAATTTGTGCTGCGCTTCGAACAAGCTGCCGCGCGCATCTATTAAACCAGCATGTTGGATTTTTTTTGGGAGCCAATGGTGGGCTTCCCGATGATGCAGGGAAGCATGGCCGGCCCAGAGATGTCTCAGTGTACTCCGCCACCTCGTATTCGCTTGCGGTCGCTTGTGGATGATTGTCTTACGTGCTTGGTCTCACTGGCCCAAGTCTTTCACTTGACACCGCCTGTTCGGCATCTCTGGTTGCGTTACATATAGGCGTTTTTTCGCTAGTCCTCGACAAGATACCATACGCTGCAGTTGGTGGAAGTCTGCTACTAGCTTCTATGGTATCTCTTGTTTTCTCTCAAGCAGGAATGCTTTCCGCGCGTGGTCGATGTCACACGTTTGACGCTCGAGCAGACGGGTTCTGTCGCGGAGAAGGAGTTGTGACGTTTCTGATGGAGCCACACGAGTCTTCTAATTGAGTTGCTGGCTCGAGCGTTCAATAGGACGGTCCGAGTGCGAGTCTCACAGCGCCAAATGGTCTTTCCCAAAGGCGCCTGATTGAAGCAGTTAGTGATGACGGCGCAGATGGACGTGCTCTCGAAGCGCATGGCACGGGTACTGCGCTGGGTGACCCAATCGAGGTATGACGTCCACAAAGAGATGATGACCACATGGGTGAATTTTTAGGTCGGCTCTGCCATCTGAGCGCTGTGCAACGACTCAAAATTGATACATTGCGATTCTTTGAAGTCGAACATGGGGCACCTGGAAGCATCGGCAGCTATCGCAGGACTGGCCTCTCTCGTGCTCGTGCCTCTTGACAGGGGGGTGATTGCTGTGAATGCGCAGCTCCAGCTGTCCGTCCAACTCGAGCACGACGTCCACTCGATTCCAGCTGCGTTAGGTTGAACACGCACGTTTTCTCGATCGTATCGCGATAATTCGAGTTGCCTGTCGAGCTTTCGGCCAAAAAGCAAACATAAAAATCATCAGTGGGTCGGCTGAGCTCATTTGGGTTCAGCGGGACCATTGCGCACGGGGCGTTTGTTTCCTTGGCGTGCTCGAGGTAGGTCCTGGAGAAGCTTAGTTTGGCTTCTCTCTATCGTGCTCAGTCGCAGCCTGTTTGTAGCAAGCGGCTGCAAAATCGATGGACTGCTGGAGAGGACCCTAGCGTGCCCCAAAGCCTCCTAGTCACAGACGGCTCCCTGTTGCCCTCGACGCAAGCCTATCTCGCGGATCACATGGTTGGAGGAAGCATCCTAGTTCCGGGTGTCGGCTACATGGAGTTGGTCTTGGGGTCACTCGAGCTGCCAAAGTCACTCACTGGTGTTCGATTTCTGCTGCCGTGCATATTACCAGAGCCTGGCTTGGGCTGATGCGTCCTGTGATGCCGGAGCCAAATTTCGGGAGCGTTTGCGATTGAAAGTGCGGGGACAACAAGGAGCCAAGAAGCGTTCCAAACGCACTGTGAGGGAAGCTCTCTGTGAGGCCAAAACTCTGAGTCGAGTGCTAAAATTACAGGCTATTTTGCGCGAGCACTTCACGATCGCCATTTTACCAACACCTTGCAGTGAGTGACAGACAATTCCTGAGGAACATGACAATCTAGTGACTCTGGTGTCAATTCTCTGCACACCCGGCGATCCGGGGCGATCTCGGAGGTCCGAGGGACCTCAAATGCAATAGAATCTTCACCTTTGAAGCCAACTTTCTTGCTACGCGCAGGGTGGTGGAGCATGAGCATTTTTGTGCTGCGAAAACTGCCGCGTCCAAGTATTCAGCACGATTCATAAACGAGATTGTCACGGCCTCATGACGTACATGTGGCAGGCTATTTCTAGATTCGACCTTGGAAACCTAGCGGCTCAAGCGTCACCTATCCGCAAGATGCGCTTGCCTATTATTGGTATGGGCGTCAGGTCATACGCGCACCTCAGCTGATCAGCTCCGTTTCAGGGAGGAGCTGCATCTGGCGGTCTGTTTTTCGCGTGCAAGAGGCGCATTACGGGACTGTTGTTCCTGATCAGTTGACCTGGAGGATAGACTTGTGTGGCAACTCAGAGCACCTCCACGACGGAAAAAATGTTCGGCTCGTACACACATCAAAGGTGGAGAAGCAAGATGTCAATACCTGTTCACAATACTATCTCAGACAGTCAGCTTCACAGCTAGGCAACGTGCCTGCGAAGACTCCAGCAGATACACTCACGAGCTTGAAAGCTAGCAATCAAATCGTCTAGGGTAAATCATCGTGATCTGCAACGACAACTCGACTCAGATAAATGTCTCGCAGCAGCTCAGCGAGGTTGCACAGTCGCCGGACAGTGCACCTGCTGGATAGTAGTTTGACTGGCGTCATAGCGACGTTAGGAAGCTAGCAAACTATCCTAACTTTCTAAAGCATTTGAAATAGAATGATATAGTTGGATCATCATTCCTTAAGTGCAGCACTATCGAGGTGCGCAACGCTATATCAATCCCAGATTATTAACGCGCGATCATTATGAACAACTTGTGCAAAGTGGTGTGCGTTTGCGTTGGACTCTTCTTCGGCCTCATCTTTGCGATGATGATTCCCGCAAACGTCGCAAAATTCGCTAAAGAAATTGTCCGCAGTGGTCTTCGCCAGGGAAAAATTGGCGGTTCAGTGAACCGCCGGGCCTCCTTCGACGATGCCATTCTCAAAATGAATTACGCCATCGCCTTTGGTGGTGGCCCTAGCTTTGCTGGGGTCCCTTGTGTTGGACCCGCTTGGATGTATTCGATGGGCCTCCCCGCTGACTGGAGCACCACCGGTTTGAATTACGCTGCGACATTTACCGATGATACGGACTCCGCTGGAATGGACTGGCCTGCTAGGTTAAATGTGTACGAAGATCCCGTTATCCCGATTCTCGAATGGACTGACTGTCTCCTCCAGGTGACGCCTTATGCCGCCATAGGATTGTGTGCGCGACTGCTTCAATGTCTCCCGACAGAGTGCGCGTACACCGATTTACTCGCGCCGGCTGCAGCGACTCCTGGCTGCGTCGCTGTCTCAAATTGGACAGATTGTTCTTGCTTTATCGCCGGTCTTCCCGATTTTGCTTGGCAATCAATCCCAGACAAGCTCAATGCGGACAAGGAAATCATGGTTATTTTAAGAGTCTATAACAGCAATGGATTTCAAGTGATACAAGTCGGTCTAGATTACAACGGGTGGATGATTGATTTCGGCGGTGCAGGGATCCCAGGCGCATTCCACAACCCAGCGTACCTCGCGAATCCTCCGACGACATCCTTTGCTAAAACTTGGTGCGTTACATCATACACCTTCAAGGAGTGTTGGACTCTGTATATCGGAGAAGACATGGAGACGTCCGCCGCTATCATGGCCCCTGTTGGAAACATCATTTTCGCCTTAATTCTCTTTGGCATTGACCTTCTCACATTTATGACGCTTTTTCTTGTGACGGGAGGTAATGCAAAGGTAGGCCCCGCAAAATAAATTACGCTACATCTTCCTGCTGCTTTTAGTAGTCTACTGGTTAATAGTGTTTCATGAACAAAATCCTACCATGCGCAGCAGTTTATTACTGGCCTCATCTTCGCCTTCGCTCCCTATCGAATTCTGGCCTTCGCTCCATATCGAATTCTGGTGCTTCTTCAAAATGATTTTACTTGAAGATACGCGACCATCGCATATCGTAGTGGTTATATTTTCTCAACGTAAATATCATAAACCATTCGTTTTAAGGGGTGGCATGGAGGGACCCAGGGGGCAGGGAGAGCACACCACCGGCTACGGCCGTCGTTGAACAAGCACATCTATGAAGCAATGCTGCAGTAATCCGTAGCTAAGAGACGGTCTCTCGTGCGAGCATTTCAGCGGCCGATGGTGGAATCTCCACCTTAGAGGGCCCCGCGCTCCTCGAATATGCAGCGACGTGCAACGATCCCAGTGGCTTTGAGGTCCGCAAACATGTGGGTGAGGCACATGAAAAGACGCGACATCCGGACGATTGCGAGGCGACGCAAACGGGCAGCCCCAGGGGGTGGAATGAGGCGCGGCAGCTTCCCCCGACCCGATTTTCGGTCCCCTTCGAGTCACAGAGCGTCGGGAATCGTTCGTCATGGGGGCGACCAGATGCCCTCGCGGCAGCTCTTCGGCTCGAGTGGATTTGATCGAGATCACCTCACCGCCTCCGGGAGGCGTGCGGCGCCGCGGGTGACACGGTGCTCACCGCGCAATGCATGAGGCGTTTGGTGCGAACAAACCCGGACAGCCCCCTCGGGAGCGACATTCCAGGGGGTGTTTCTTCGAAGTTGTACGCACCAAACGCCCCCTGGAACTAAGTTGGGCCCCTCGTCGGTCGCCCCCCACCGTTAACGGCCGTTCTCGTCATCCACGGGCTGCCCCGACGCGAACTAAGTTGCTCGCCTTCGACCGATGGTCTTTCCCGAGCGACTCGCAGCCGGGCCCAAGCGTGGCAAGTAGTTCCTTAGCAGGTTCTTCAAGGTTCTCTCTCAGCGCTGGGGAGCGCCTTACGGGCGCCGGGGCGACAGGGTGAAGCTCCCATCCAATATCATTGAGCACCTAGACTGGTGGATCAAAGCATTGAGGGAATCGCCCGGCCGTCGGATAATGGCGACAGCCAAGCGGCACTTGAAAGGACCGTTGCTTTCGTGGATGAGCGACACCTGCCGCTGTCTGGATGAAGGGAAACCTTCAGGGGCCGGCGGGTTCCTGCCGCTGGGCCCAGGTTATTATTGGTCGGAAGTTTTTGACGATACCGTGGTCAAATGGCTGAATATCGCGCACTTGGAGTGTTACGGGGTATGTCACTAACATCTGTGGCAGGATTTCCGCCTTGCGGCAACTGAGGACAAGCTGATTGGCACTGCATCGCCGACGGAGCCCCACAGAGAATCGAAGGGTTTGAGCTACGTGAGGAATCATCATTCTCTTCTGAGATGGTACGGTCGGAGGCACCTCAAGTCATGACTGCCAACTCACAAAACCAAGATGCTTCAAATGAGTAAGATGCAGAAGTGGGCAGCAGAAGCATAAGAGTGCCCTTTTTACACTTCAGGCTAAGCTTATTGTCTCGTGTCGTGGAAGCTCTGGTGAACAGATGCAACCCAGGAACTTACTGAACCCAGCCCAAAACAGACCTCAGTTTGTCCATCAAGGCCTCGTCCGCTCGAATGAAATGGTGATGCAAAGCCAACGCGGCATCATTCTCAAAGGAGAAGGCATTCGGAACTTTGGTTTTATTGTAAATGATCTTTGTATCATGGTTATTGCTCTTCTTCTCAGATACTTTCAAGAAGGAACCCAGACGTTGAAACACGAGTTCAGGCTTAGCCTTCAATATTGCGTTCTCAACAACCAAGATTCTATCCCTAGACACTGCATCGGCAAAATGTGAAATGTGATACGCCATTGAATATTGAGCGATAAGACGAGCCACGATATGAAACAAAAACGACTTCTTAGCGGCGTCACTCTCCGGGCACATCCGCATAGCTCGAAAAAATGGGACAATGCCAATGCTCTCAGCTTGCTTTTCCATCTTTAGGGTGGTCTCTATAACTGAAACTGAGTGCGTAAATGAAATCTTCCAGAGGTCCACGTAATCTGAAAGACCACTCCCATGTGAATATATAGACGGATCTTGCATGCTGCATATAAAACGGCGAAGACTAGGGCTATGGTTCCATCTTGCTATTTGGAATAAAATAAAGTTCACCGCTGACTGGATAGCCGAGATATGATCACGGACGCATATCACAAATTTGGCCTCCGGTCCGCACGAAGCTGCAAGATGTGGTGTAAATACTACATCAACAGATGCGTCCATCACAACCGAACAAGGTCGTGCTCGGAAAGCTAATGGAAAGAATGTCCCATATGGCAACCAGGGCATGACTTGCAGACGATTGGTCTCCTTGCTCATAGCAGCCAACCAGTTTGGCGTAACAATACCATCTAGGTGCCTCGGTAACATTCCTACCAGCGCAGTGGTTCCACACTTGGGAAAACCCACCAAGTATACAGAAGGCTTGAAGCGAAAGTAACTTGTGCTGGCATACAGCAGACGGACAACCCACCGGATAGCAATTGTGGTGAATAATACCGGATACACGAGTATGAACGCCAAGCTCCGAATGGTGAACCAGTCTGGACCCGCCCAACTCAAGAAGAAGATGGCTCGAGAATGTGTTGTGCCGAACATCGAGCCAGAAAATTCAGCGAGGGGGAGGCGTGAGGCAAATAAAATTATATCGGCGAAAATATCTGGGTGATGCATTTGCGCCGTCACCGGCATCTCCTTGATGTTCTCCCTTGTGTGCAGGTGATAGCGCAGGTGATATTAAGGAACGATACAAGATATAGAATGGTATAGTTGGATTGGCGATTGGAGCGCGGGGCTGACAACAGCGGTAGCATTCTGCGAGGGCACTGCGCCTACTTAAAGGCTGCCGCCTACCTCAAAGCGCAGGTGGCTCCAGCCCCTGACGAGGATAGCTTTGGGTTGGATGAACACCTGCGGAAGGCGGCGACTGCGAGTTCTGATGAGCAAGCAGCGCAGGAGGATTCGAGGGAAGAGTCAGCTGAGCAGCAGCTGCATGGATCAGATGACCCTGTGCCCCTGGCATCGCCCGAGACCACTGGGCAGGCGGGGCGATTGCCCAGGCGCCCGCAAGTGTTGTTTCTTCTAAGACTGGTAAGCAATCTATGGCCGCAACGGCCACACTGCTGGAGCAGAACCTGCAGTTGCGACCTGCAACCGCTCCGCCAAGAAGGAGCTCTAGGCTGGAGAGTATGCCGCCCCAGAGATGGTCGGAGAAACGTACAGCTCCGGGTGGACAGCATCATTGGAACTTTATGACACGAGAGTGTACCCTCATATATATTGCTAATGATGCCGTTTCTATACCTACATTGTAGTTCCCTGTTTGTAGGTGAAATCTGTTTGTCAATACCTGTATACGCGGGAGACGCATGTGGCAAATGTAGGTCGCGGGCTGCCTGATACTTCGCGGGAGACTGCCTGATACTTCGCGGGAGACTGCCTGATACTTAACCAAAAACAATAGTGTTCATTGATGATTTCTCAGCAAATTTGCTATATCGGCATGACCGTTTTCTCCGCAATCCAAATAGATAACATGAGGGTACAGAGTGTTGTCATTGACGACACTCTGTGGGTTGGTGTCATACTACGGACTGTTCCTTGGCGCCAAGTTGATGTACGGGGCTTAATTTCATTACAGCGGGGTCCGTCTTAATATTTTCTCCGAAGGCGTGTCGTTGCAGAGCAAAATACCCAAGAAATAATTACTGAGATGAACCAAGGAAAAGTCTATTAAAAGAAAGAAATATTTGGACATTGTATTCATACTGATACTGATAAACCAGTCTTTAGACAAAGTCCTTACAGTCAGCATTCGTCTGCCCAAGTTCAACCAATTCCAGGAGGCGATCCTTTAACGCATGATGCGCCATCGGCGTCGCCTTACTGGCTGAGAGAAACACGCCTGGAAATAATATAAGCGGTAATGGCAAAGTTGTAAATTGCCGATACTAGCAAAGCAACCGAGTTGTGGCACGAGTGATTCACTGGCTTCCGGTTGCGAAGTGCCAGTGGAGCTGGATCAGCCAGGAAGCTTTCGAACAGGAATTGTTTGATTTTGAACGAGATAATAAGTATCAGACTCAAGTAGATGTAGGCAGCAAAAAAGATAACACAAGCATCAGATAATCTCCAGTCAAAATCTCTGTTGAAGAAAGAAATTTGATAGATAGGCACGTGCAAAATATAGCTACCCAAAGCGTTCCATCCGCTGTAACAGAGTATCAACAGCGGGATGTCGTAAGCGAGAGTTTGAAGCACAAAATGGTGTGTCGAGGTAAAAAACTCCGATATCGCCGGAACTATGATGCAGCCGTGACTTAGGGCACTTTGTAACTCAAACAGCCACAACTTGTTATCGTTGAGTATTTTCAGATGCCTTTCGAGGGCTTTGCTGTGATTCTGCTTGTAGACAAATGAGTAGTACACAGTAAAGATAAATATTGTTAAAGCGAAGTGTGTATTCACAGCGCTCTGCAAACTTTTGTCACGTCCTGGTTGTTTCAGCTTGTGCTTTGAAGCATGTGATAGACTTTGACACACAAGCCAAAAAAAGAGAACGCAGCTTGCAATGACGTTCAAGTTTGTTAGCAAGAATGGCTCCTTGAGACAGTACTGTCGTAGCTCATCCAGATTGCGGCAGCTCGAGCATGAAATGAGAATGTAAGCTACCTGGGATTTGGTGTTTGACTCACATCACACAGCTGTAGGCACTGGGACAACGACGGCTAATATTGCGAACAGATAGATAATCAGTCCAAAAATTCGGTTGCATAACACGAGGTGCCTCCTGTAACCCATGATACTATGGGCATTCGGCCAGGGCGTTTCTGATGAACTGGACAATGCGTACAAGCTGGTCACACTCGAAGGCGTGCCAATTTTGCCCCGACTTTCCGTCCACTTGGCCGCGTCTCCCACTCAGATGATTGAAGCAAGGGAAGACGTCAAGGATTTTTTATTAGGTAATCTTCGATTAGGAAAGTAGCGCCCCGCGGGCCGCAGCCCCGGCGCTGGCGCCTCCGGCAACGGCCCTAGCATTGGCTGGAGCGGGAGGAGCACCGTTTCATCAGCAAGGGGGACAGCCGGGTGCGGGAGCGCTGGCGCCAGCGGCAGCCCCAGTCCCGGGCGCCGCAGCAGGTACCACCACTGGTGAGCGGGGGGGCGCCCCCTCGGCCGCCCCCGCCGCTGGAGCGGCCAGAAGGCGGAGCACCTCTATCAGCAGAAGCAACAGCGTTTGTTCCCGGAGGACTTCAGCACGATCAGCAAGCGGCAGCCCCGGCTACGGGCCCGGCCCCAGCGTCGCCAGCGCGGCATCAACCGACACCGTATGGTATCCGCCCCGGGGCCCGTATCCCCCGCCTTGTTTATCCCCCGTGCGGGGGTAAATCGGCGGGGGATACGGGGCGGATACCGTATGATATCACCTTCAACTTGCCTCCACCTTGACTTCAACTAAATAAGATATTTAACGTCATTGTGCTTTGTGTGCGTCACCGTGCCGATTTAGGCTGGAATTGAACCTACATTGGGGCTACTCGGGGCTACTGGGGATTGGGAATATAAGGGGCTATGTCAAACACGGGTAATTTGGGGCGATGCTAATAAAATAACATAAAAATAGCATTACGGGGCAGATAGTATCGGGATACCCCCGAAATACGTCCCATTTTTATGGCGGGCGGGATGGTCTGTCGGTCGGCGGTCGTTCGTCACGGTCGTTCGTCACGTTTCTATGGTGGGCGTGTTGGTCTGTCGGTCGGCGGTCGTTCGTCACAGATAAGCTCTTCGGGGGCACGGGGGGGGCTCCGGGTGCTCTGGGCCTCGCGCGGCTCGCCGGCGCGGCGGCAGCGAGCGCGGGAGCCGTCGCCGCTGGTGCAGGATCAGGGATTGGTGTGGCAGGAGTGAGACAGGCCCGAAGCCGGCGGCGGAGCTTTCGAACGTGTACGAAGCCCATGCCAATGCGGTTCTCCAGCTCATCGTTCGAGATGAGCCCCTCGTCTTGCAGCACTTGAATGCTCACGACGCCGCACTGAATCAGAGGCTCGTAGAAATGGCCCATGCACAGCTCTTCCAGCAGTTTCTTCATCACGATTCTGGCGAAATATGGCTTCGCGGAGTTGGTCATCATGTGCAAATGTAGCACGTCCGCAAATTCGAGGTGGTCGAGTACGAGACCAGTGAGCTTGGTCCACATCTCGTTCACTGGCACGGCGCGGGTGCCCTCGAGGCTGCTGCGCAAGGCTGCGGTGTACGAGCGGAGCGTGGCTCAAAGGTGGCGCGTCGAGAGGTGGGCATAAATATCAGGGTGGCCAGCAGGCACAAATTAATATCAAGACGGACCCCGCCGGCACAAATTAATATCAAGACGGACCCCGCTCGCCGAGGATTTTATATCAAGACGGACCCCGCCGGCACAGCCCACATCTAGTTCGATTTATTTAGTTTTAGTAAGAATTTCAAGACGGACCCCACCGGCGCACGATCACGCCAGGACGGACCACGTCGCGCTGATGCGCTGGCGATAGTTTCGGCCCGGCGACAGTAGGGCATGCCGACCGACCTAGAATTACCCCGGGCGTCGCTAGAAATAACAGGCATCTTACAGGGCCGGAGGGGCCTCGGTGTCGCCGCGCCTGAGCTCGCCTTGCGGGAAACCGAGTTGCTTAAACGATGAGTGCCAAACAGTTCGCCTCTTGCTTTAAGGCTATGCCACAGAAGGAAGCATTTGAAGCCCTCTTTGCTTTGATAGACCGCATCAAAGACACCGAACCGAAATTCGCCCTATCAAAGATTAAACCGGTTGCCATCAAACTCGCGTGAACCGGTTCAATATGGATGATGAAGATGAATTCAATCCGAGTCAGTATCAAACTCGAAGCAATGAACTGATGATGCTGAAATGTTTGCTGTTGAAAGTCCCTTAAATGGTTCTGATGACGATGATGATGATGATGGTGATGGTGATGGTGATGGTGATGGTGATGACGATGGTGATGACGATGATGACGACGCGAACTATTAGCATTAGGGTTAGACTGGGGTTCGGACATTGAGATCGGGGGTTAGGATTGGGGTTATATAGGATTAGGGTTATGCCAAGCGGATTTTAGTCCCTTTTGAGGGTTAGGATTACACTCCCCGTGCGGTTTCCCGAGGTATATATTCCCCGTATTCCTATTCTCTCTATGACAACGGGGTGGTGTCTAAAAGGGAATACGGGGAATATATACCTCGGAAACGGAAGATGCCTCGGAGCTGAGACTGGGCGGAATTGGCCCAGGCGAGTCGACACCACGGCATAGTCGACCTCGATGTCTCCAAAGAAAGATTCCGAAGACGAGCCAGGCTTCCTCCGATTGAACAGATAAACGGATGATAGCGGGTACGGACCGAAGGGAAGTCGCCAAAAATGACCATTCACTAGCAAATCGACCATTTGTGTCTCCCAGTTGAACACAGCCTCGAAAGAGTACCATTTCATCGGCTTCGCGTAGCGTTCAAGGACGTACTGGGTTCCCGAGCAGTCGTCGTAATATACGAGCCGCCTGTCTTGGTTGGCCAGCATTCCGGTCGGTACTCCATTTGGTGCCGCTGGGGAATCAAATGCAATTCTGCACAGGAAGGGTGGGCGCCCATCAGCCTGTTGGTTGTAAGTTTCCGGGTTTCGCCACGAGGACAGCGCAAACGAGGGGCCTCCGGTCTTCGACCTGTAGCAGACGTGCACCTTGAGCCTCTGCACACGATTTCGCGATCCACTGGCCCGCCACACTAGCCCACCCAGGTGATCAAGGCCCAGATATGGGAATCTGCTCAGCGCGATGCCGAAACCGGGCCGCCAAATCGCCGCGCGGAATGACGGGTCGGGGTTCGGCTTCCCTCCTGGTCTGTCTCCCAGTGACGCAACACGTTCCCAGTTGTCTAGGCTCCCCCATGACTCGCGGAAATGGACCATGTCGTGGCCGCAGTTGGACAGGGCGTCCATGATGCAGATCTTGAATTTAGGTGTGGCCTGGGCAAGCGTCACCAACACTCGCACGTGATCCGCAGCGAAGGACCGCGCCAGCGCCGGCAGCGAGGCGATGCTCGATAGATCCAAGAAGCGAATCACGGCGGCGGCTTGATCGCGGTGGCGCCAGAAAGCCGGGAGGCCGTGCGACATCGTGCGATGAAGCTTGTCCATGTCATCAGATCAGTTTGAATGTCATGATCGACGGCCCGCGGGGTCCATATTGATATTCTTTGCATTTGCGGGGTCCGAACTGATATTCTTTGCATTCGCGGATTGGGCAACATTCTTCTCGAGCGGCGTCGCGCAATGCGGGCGCTCCTCGTCGGGGCCCTCGCGGCGTCGGCGGTCCCCGCGGCGCGGTCCGACGACGGCGGCGCGTCGCTGGCGCAGGTCGGCGCGACGAGGCCTCGCGCCCGGTTTTACCACTGTAGCCACATACAACTAAAAGTTTCTTTACCAGACAAAGATCAATTTAAGAAGTATAGTGCTTGTAAAAAATTCAGCATTGGTATTATAAAAAAAAGCTTCAGATACATTTATTAAATCTGCTATCAAAAAAACAAGCGTGATATCTAAAGATAAACCAGCACCACCACCACTACCACTACCACCACCAAAGCTAGATGCCACTCGGCGAACAATCCGTTTGAAATCTTGACCACCACTTGTCGAGCACTTCCTCCAGAAATGTCGTTGTAACCCACGCATGGTCCTTGAAGCCCATGACTGCACGCTTATCCTTAGCTGAAGCCCGCGGCTGCCGCGAAAAACGCCTGCAGCGCGACCCGCGCTTGTAAGGCCCGCGCCTGTCCACTAAACGGGCGCCCCTGCAGCTCCGGCGGGACTGGGTTGGACACAACCATGGCCGCCGCTGCTCCAACCCACCCTATGCCCCCTCCTCAGAAAGAATTTCGCCGGCGGGCTGCTTCAGCAGCGCCGGCCAGATAAGAGCATAAGGAGCGAGTATCGATTGAGCTGCAATAATAACTTACAGCTCATTCTCTCTCTCTCCTTTGGGCGCTACTTTCTTGGCTAATCGAAGATTACCTGTACACAGCCTTACGCCGGAATTGTTGCATTTTAACCTTACTCAGCCACGATTATCGATCGCAGTCAGATTTATCAGATTTTCGGTGATACAGACTATGGCACTATCAAAGAACTGAACAAGCACTTTGATGACGATGAACCAATTTTGATTGAATACCAATTCTTTCACGTTGGTGGTAATAATGGTGGGGTTCATTTTACAGTGTCTTTTGAGTGGGATACGGACGATCTCATTAAGCACAAGCGGTATATCACCATTGAGAAGAAGCAAATCTATAATTTCAATAGTGCCTATGG